CTGGCTGCTGGTGACGGGAGAGGTGCCCACCCGGGAGCAGGTAACGTGGGGGAGGTCGGGCAGGGGGGGCTGCCGTCCCCCTGCCCCAGGGCTCAGCCCCCCGTGTCCCTCTGCAGGTGAGCTGGCTGTCCCGCGAGTGGGCCCGGCGTGCCGCACTGCCCTCCCACGTGGTGACCATGCTGGACAACTTCCCCACCAACCTGCACCCCATGTCCCAGCTGAGCGCTGCCATCACCGCCCTCAACAGCGAGAGCAAGTTTGCTCGCGCCTACGCCGAGGGCATCCACCGCGTCAAGTACTGGGAGGTACGGGCGGGTGGCCGGCGGCCCTGGGGGGAGCTCGGACACCCCAACTCTGAGCTTGGGTCGCAGTGTGGGCACAGGTTTGGGTGTGAGGGGTGAGGGGCTCACCTTCCCCCGGGGAGAGCAGCCGCCCCATCTTACCCTCCCTGTCCCAGTTTGTCTACGAGGACGCCATGGACCTGATCGCCAAGCTGCCTTGTGTCGCCGCAAAGATCTACCGCAACCTGTACCGCGAGGGCAGCAGCATCGGCGCCATCGACCCCAACCTCGACTGGTCCCACAACTTCACCAACATGCTGGGCTACACCGACCCCCAGTTCATTGAGCTGATGCGGCTCTACCTCACCATCCACAGGTACGGGGTTCATTGAGCTGATGCGGCTCTTCCCCACCATCCACAGGTACGGGGCCGCCAGCCCCGGAGCCAGGGATGGGGCTGGATCCTGGGACATGCCCGGGCTGCTCCGGGGGTGTCACCAGGCATGTGGCGTGGGGCCAAGGGCAGCCCCGGGGCAGGGCCGTGCCAGGCTGGGCACATCATGGGAGGGGGTTATCTACTGTGGGGGTGTCCCCATGGCTGTGGGGGCCCCGGGGGGGGATGGGGAGACCTGATGTGCCCCCTCGCCCCTGCAGTGACCACGAGGGGGGAAACGTGAGCGCCCACACCAGCCACCTGGTCGGCAGCGCCCTCTCCGACCCGTACCTCGCCTTCGCCGCCGCCATGAACGGGCTGGCCGGGCCCCTGCACGGCCTCGCCAACCAGGTGGGCACCTCTGCGCGTCCGTCTGTCCGTCTGTCTGTCTGTGTGCTGCTGTTCTCACCCCCTGCTCCGCTTGCCGTGCCCACAGGAGGTGCTGCTCTGGCTGACCAACCTGCAGAAGGAGCTGGGCCAGGAGGTGTCGGACGAGAAGCTGCGGGATTTCATCTGGAACACGCTCAACTCGGGCAGGGTGAGTCCGGCCCTGCACGGGGCGAGGGATGGGGGACGGGGCTGTGCTGGGGACGGGCTCTGACACCCCCCCTCTGCCGTCCTTGCAGGTGGTGCCGGGGTACGGGCACGCCGTGCTGCGGAAGACCGACG